TCTGCCCCTCTGAATCTGCCGTTTTTCAGCTGCGCCCTGTCACAGGAGACTGACCAGTATGATGTATTCGAGGGGGGCGTGTGTTCTCAAACTTCTGGGTCTCAGGATTCTCACAGGTTTAACAACTATTGACTGAGGAGCTTGTTTTGTGGATTATATCTACTGGTATCTAATGTAGTAGAAATTAATGGGGAGAAGTGTTCAAATGTTTACTCATTCATCTAAAATAGCAGTAATAGATGCATTACATGTTGAAATAAACAACATACTTTTAAATAAAAAACTTTGCTTTCCATTTTTGTGCATCTCTTGACTGTCTCAATTAACAAATCAACTAGATTTCCCACTGCTTCTGCATTAATCTGTTAAAATATCACAGGTGAGACAGCCTTTGGGAAAAACCACTACTCACTATTGAGAATGAAAGTGAAAAAGGCAAATAACATAACAGCTTAGTGTTGTTATGAAGATAGTTTTGACTTCAAGGATCTCATGAAAGGTCTTGGAAATCCCCAAGAGTTCCCAGCCACACCCACAATTCCTGTGACCTCTGAACCCCACTGAGTTCAGCCAGTGGGAGCCTGAGCAAGAAAGTGGAGAAATAAAACAGCGCAGAACATTTACTCTCCTGGCTCAGTCCCTGCAAGGCTGCCTACCCTAAGTCCAGCTCTGTCTCTTGAAAAGAGTGAGGGCTTCTCTCAAGTGATTCTCTTCTGTGGATTCCAGTTCCTTCTCCCCTCGTGCCTTTGGGCCTCAGGGTGAAACATCTGAGCTGTTCCATTGTCTTTCTTAGTTCTACATTCTGTACACACCTCTGTGAATAAAAACTTGTGCATTTACCCTCATTTTCCACCATCATACATAAATGAAACAAAAATTCAGCAAACAACTCAGAGCCTCATGCTATGCCAGTGGATCTCCAAGTGTGGTCCTCAGAGCGTCAGCGTTAGTACGATATTGTATTACCTGGAAACTTGTTAGAATTAGAACGTACATTTCTGGACCACACTCCAGGCCGATTAAATCAGAAATTCTAGGGCTGGGGCCCAGCAAGCTGTGTTTTAAAACCAGCTTCTCAGGTGATGTCAATGCATGTTCAACTGTGATCCAGTTTGAAAGAAACACTGCTCACACAAGTTAATTAATAAGCGTGCCCACACTAAGTTTAAAACTGCAGTTAGATAAAGTTAGCCCGTAGTTAATAGCTAATGGTAGCGAGCATTTGCACGGTGCCAGGCATTTGGCTCTCAACATCTGAAACGTTAACTCAGATTTTAGGACAACCATCAAGTTTAGTAGTAACTATTAGGTGGTCAGTTTTTGACATGTAGAAAAAATTACACAAAGAGAGAGCAAGTACCTTGGCCTAAGTACACAGAACTAGTCAGTGCTAGAAAGTGGCGGAGCTAGGGTCCAACCCAGGCAATCTAGTGCCAGTCTGTGCTCCCAACCTCTACATAGTAAGACTCCAGAGCAGCAACAAGGGTCTGCAGGGACTCGGGTTTCCTAGCAACACAGTGGTTGGCTAATTGCCTATTCTTTCCCAGCACTGGAAGAGCTGAGGGTGAAACTCTTCTACAGAAGAGCTGGAATGGTGAATCCTGACTCAAGCAGACTGGATAGGCTTTTCGGAACCTCGTTAATAGAAGGTGGAAGGGATTTTCTAGTAGACTGTGAGGCACTGAGCTTGTGAAGAACCCAGTTCGGGGTTTTCTACCCTCTATTTCCGTGTGCTGTCCCAGGCTCAAATCACACGGACCCGCTCTGCTAGACTGCCACCGTGCCTCTGACCCAGGCTTTCACTTAGGTTTTAGGTTGACTTTTCATTGTAAATTATTTTAAAATTAAATAAAAAAATTTAAATGTATAAGTTCAACTTAAAAAATGTAAAATTTCTGCTTTTTTAATACAAACCATACACTTCAAAGAATCCTGGGGCACTCTTTCCAAGTTACTTTAGCATAATGAGAATTTGTTTCTGCATTAAGTGAATTAATTTATTCCTCATACATTCATGGCCCTGTTCAAACTTGTTCAATAGTGAGTTCCTCGGCCATGGTGCTAAATCTATATAAAAGCCTTTATACAATTAAAGTGACAGGTATGCATACATCAATAAATTTATAAATATCTTAATGGCCACATACTCTAGGGCTGCATTCTTCAAACCAGTACCCTGAAACGTTTCCAGGGTACGTGGGCAAGGATGATCTCACTGGACTCAGCACCTAGGCCGTTACCATCCACATGAACTCCTGCGTAAATGAGTTTACCCCTCAGGCTCCTGAGGTCCGGGTGCCCCTTTCACATGAGCTCCTTTCTCCTTTACACATAAAAAAAAACTGCTCTTAAGCCTCAGTGTGTAAAATCCCACAGAATGGTGAAAAAGTGAATGACTACAAAGCTGAATAACAAGCTTTCACAGAAATAGATGGAACTGGAAGTAATTAACTTTAACATACCATGATTTGTTGTGATCAAGTATGATGGGGAAATACAATAGAAATCTAAGTTCAAGGAGACCATAAATGATATAAAAATGTATAAAAAAGCCTGTTTGCATCTTTTAAAAATGGATGATGGAAGTATGAAAACAGCATTAGATTCTGTTGGTTATGTTTTCAAAACCTGTTGTTAACAGTTTTACATATTTTAAAAAGCCAGTATTTAGGGGAGAGGCAGGGTGGGGACTCTTTGAAAGAAGGAGAAGGGACTAGTTAAAGAACATACACGAAGGACCCATGGACATGGACAACAGTGTGGGGATGGACTGTGGAAGGGGGTGGGCTGGGCAGAGGAGGGCAAAGGGGAAAATTGGGACAACTGTAACAACATAAACAATAAAACATAACAAAGGTCAGTATTTACAGTATGCTAAAAATTGCATCCTTTTCAACTATTTTAACTTATGAAAAATCATCGATGTCAAATTGAAAATGTGCAAAGGGGTATTTAATGTTTAAAAACACCTAGCAAAAAAGTTTGCATATCACGTGTCATCCGTTTAATTTTTAACCACCACAGAAGTATGACTGTCAACCTTCTATAAACTGGGGGCCGGGAATTAGGGGGACGTGGATGTGATGACCAAGTAAAGGACCTAACAGGGCATGTGGTAAACTGGGTGCCTGCTTCCATGCCTGAAAAGTGGGGGCCCCGGTGGCAATCTCCCCACTTGGAGTAACTGCCCTCCTTACCACGAGCTGCCCAACCTCCTGGGCTCTGCCCCTCTCCGAGAAGGCAGGGGAGTTGGGTAGGTGAGCTGTGTATAAGATATAAGTACTGATCTAGTTCCCTTTTACTATATCCCGTAATAGCCCCAGAGCTTTCCAAAGGGTTTTTTCTTTTTAATTTGTATGTACTGATGATGGGGGAGGAGGGCCGGGGGTGGGAGACATTTTTTTAAAATGCACTCATTGGTTGTTTCTTTTATGTGCCCTGACCAGGGTTCAAACCTGCCACCTCGGGGTATCAGGATGATGTTCTACCCACGGCGCCAGCTGGCCAGGGCTGGCCTTCTGAATGTTGACAAGAATTACAACTCCTTTATACTGTTTTCTCTAAACTCCCTAGGCTTCCAGGTGTCCCAGTATGGGACATGTGTCTTTCTTGAAATAGCTTTTAAAAAGTTGTGCTTAGCCCTGGCTGGTGTAGCTCAGTGGATTGAGCTTGGGCTGTAAACCAAGGCATCGCAGGTTCGATTCCCAGTCAGGGCACATGCCTGGGTTGCAGGCCACGGCCCCCAGCAACCGCACACTGATGTTTGTTTTCTCTCTTTCTCTTTCTCCCTCTCGTCCCTCTCTAAAAATAAATGAATAAAATCTTAAAAAAATAACTAAATGGGGAACAAGTAATAAATTATTTTTAAAAAAGTTGTGCTTAATAAAACCAAAGCAAAACACACATACCACACACACAAACATAAAGACAAAAGCCCCACAACTCCCCCAAACAATAACCTAAGAACAGGAACTCTCCCCAACACACTGACAAAAAACCTGTAATAATAAGCATATCCAACTAAAGGGAAAAATAATCTGTTGACTATTTACTTTGAGAAAACCTTTGTGTGTCATCTTTAGATAAAGGTAGTACGTGTAAACATGTTCATATGAATACAGAGCTCAATACCATCTTCCCATGTAACCTCTTTTCATTCACCTCCTACAACATGGACTGTATGTATGTGGACTTCTTTTTGAGTGTTTCTTTTTGGAGAGGATGAATTTTTACACATCTGCATTTTGAATTAAATCTAAATCCTCTGTAATGTAGCATGGAAAAAAAAAAGGAAGACTGACCACTGCCAATTTAGTTTCAGCCATTTTATACGGGAATCCAAAAGCATCAAATTTCCTCGCACTCTGGGAACAATATGGAGCACGAACAAAAGGTTACAGAGGGAAGAGAATGTAATTGATTCTGAAGAGCGTGAACATCTGCAAAGAATGAATTGTAAGAGAAAATGATCTCTGGGGGTCCTACTTATGATGAAACAGTTTCTAGTTACTTGTGTCAGAGAAGTAACCCTCGACTCTCCACAAATCCCCTCCAAGTCCAAACCACGAAACAGAATGAGACTCCAGATGCTTAAAGCTTCTTTTTGCAATGTGGAAGCAAACGGAAACGGGGATGGAAGACCACACCAAACTGGATTCGCCCAGTCGTGCTGAGCTGACGGCCTCAGAAGGCAAGTCAGGAAACTGCATTCTGGTCCACATTCTGCATTGAATGGAATGTGATTGTGGCCAAATCATTTATCTCTCTGGGCCCCAAGTTCCCCAACCTGACAATGTGAGGGTCAGACTAGATGACAGAAAAGGCCCTTTTATGGTGTCCTCTCTAATGAGATGGACATACTTCCTTCTTCTTTTAGAAGTCTCTTGGGCCTCAGACTTTCCATTTTAGATGGAAAGAGCAAAAATTCTAACACAAGTTATTTAAGAACATCAACATTTATTTAACATGATAAAAAAAGAAATGAGATATGAACATTTGCATTTAAACAATAGTAAGTAGCCTTTAATACTTACATTACATGTGCTCATTGTATAATATATACACAATGAACATAATTACATTTGTACACAAACTAAGTACTGGATTTGAAAACCTGCTTATTGCTGTACACATCTATTCCAATGAAGTATAAGCCCAGTACTTCGAAACACCCACATTTTAAATTGTTTTTCAAGAAACAATAAGCGAGCACATTTGTGTTTAAGCTGACAAGAGTGTGGCGGTAACTGCTGACACTGCAATCTGACCGAGAAATAATTATAGCGGAAAGCAGGACGTCCTTCACTTAGCAATAATAAAATGGCACATTTTAAATATATATATATAAAATTTTTACAAATCAAGTGTGAAACAAAGCACTGCAGTAGCCAAAATGGGAAGGAAAAAATGACAAAAGAAAATAAGCTTCTTGGGAATAACTAAAATGATGTACTGAAAAGAAAAAAGAAATGTAACTCCACCCAGACTTTAGAAACATCAAAATGTGGAAATGAGCGACTCAGGGAGTACGGGCGGTGGGCTGCACGGTGAAAAGCACCTTGACCTCTGTGCTCTGAAATCATAGCAGCAAGCTGGTGTCAGGATAACAACCCAGAGATCAGGGAGTGTACGTATGGGCCATTAAAGCTGTTTTGGAATAAACATTTTCCATAAGTGATAAAATGATGCTCTGTGGCCAAAAGCATCAGAACTATGAATTTCATAGATTTAAAATATACTGTACAATATCTTCTCACATTGCCGAAGGTCCAAGTCCTTAGGTTTGAATGGGTTCAACAGAAGTCAGGGTAGCTGAAAAATAAAGGGAGGGAAATTTACGTTGACACTTGCAAGTGACTGAATGACCATTTCCTAAAGTAATTAAGGGGGGTGACAAGTGTGGCCGTGAAAACCCTAAACCATAATATATTTTCTATTCATTTCCATAAGCTTAATCCACAAAGCAAAGAAATATAATGCAATTAAAGAGCAATTCAGAATAAAAAATGTACCCAGATTTGTGGTTGAATCCAAAAGATCAACAAAATGAACAAAGATATGTGTAATTTCACTAAAATATCTAATACTGTATTAAGCTGCCTACAGAGCAGTGTCAACTGTAAAACTTTCTCAGTTCTTTGAAAACTACCAGTTCAGAAAGATGACAAGCGCACAGCATGCAGATGTGAGGTGACACACTTCTGAGCGTCACTAGTTGTGTGTGGCAGCTACATGCCAGACTGGGAAAATCCAGCAGTGACTGTGCCTCAGCCAGTCTAGTGTGTAACACTAGTGGCTCTGAAATAAAAGTAAAACAAAACAAAATCCAGTAACGACAAAGAATCTGGAAATGTACTTGAGTTTTAACTGTGAACATTCTGTATTATCAGAATGGCCTGCATACAATGAGTGTAAGCTATTTATTGAACCAAAAGACCATGGCTCTCAATGCGCATTGCTCCACTAAGACAGAGGCCACTGCCAACTAACTCTTCATACAGAAGGAATCAGATGAGCATAATGCTAATTACTCCTGTGTCTTATGTTATTCTATCTCTAGTGAGAACTGTCACTTCCGAACATACCAAGTTAAAAACGTAAATACTTGAGTGACAGAGGCAAGACACAGGTAAGACTATAACCAACAGACTGTCTGCAGCTTCGGAAGGGATGTCAATCCTGCGGATACCAACGAGAGCCAAGAGAGGCCTCTTCCGGACTCCAGCCAGGCAAAATCTCAAATGGAAGTTACAACTATGGCAAGACAGGTCAACATGAATCCTGCTGGCTGAAAGGAAGGGCACAGATCATGGCTGCCACTGAAAGGTGCGAGTGGAAGTGGATTCTAGGAGAGAAGCACTACGGAGTCAACCTAATCAAGCTAGTATTTGCACTCATTTAGTTTGAGAATCAAAAAATCAAGTAATGCGTTGTAACAATGCTCATGTCTCTAGGAGTTTTCACTGCTTATAACTGTGTAACAGAAACTGGTGGTCACCTTAAGGTACAAAGCATTTCTAGATCTGGTAGACACTTCGAGAAAAAAAGGCATAAAGTGCTCATTCCACACCTCACAGTTTTTCTGAGAAGTTAAAAACAGTGTATATCTACACATACAGAAATGTAGGCAGCATTTAGCAATTGTTTCAAGTTTAACAGTAAGACCTTAGAAAATTATTCTCAGTTCTGAAACTGTGGTTTAAGAAACATTACTCAAAGAAAGACTTTCTCCTTCTCCATTTCCCCACCCACGGCTTTTTGAGTAACTACTTCCCTGTCTTAAAAATTTAGAATGAATTTGTCTGATACATCTTAAAGATTTTAATATTCCATCTATTTGGCTATACCGTAAACATTTCTTTGTCTTAAAAAATAATTAACAAACTCCCAACACGGTAGATGTGTCACACTAACTTAAAAAACATTACTCAATCAACGCGTAATGGCTTAAACAGACGTCTCGGGTCCAACTATGGAAAGGAGCGCTGAATGGGAACACAGCTGCAAAACACTGTGAGGCCTGTTTTGGCACAGGACGCACCCTCCAGGTTTTGCTGTTTTTACAGAAGAAATAAGAGACAGAGGAAACGCTGTCACGTAGCCAGTCACTGGAAGGGCCAACATTGGAAATGTGAGTTACTTGCTCTGGCAACTATGCCTGAGCACGATCTAGAATTAATCCCAGTTTTTATTCACTAAACTGACAAATTAATAAAATTCCAATCAGGAACTCAGAGGGTGAAGTGCAAAGGGAAACGTACTTTTTTCGAGACTACACACACATGAAATGCGATCCTTCTGTGAGCTGTGGCTGAGCAGACGGGACCGGTGAGGCTGACGACTCAGGAGAGGAGGACAGACTTTTCCCTGAAACACACCAAGAAAATGTGAGAAGATAACCATCTTTACGACATGTGGGGAAGGAAACCTGATGCTGCGACCCCACACAACAAGAACATGTTCCGAGGGGGACTTAAGAGCTGTGTGGGGTTGTTCCTTTCCGGTCTGGGAACTAAATGGAAGGCTGTTGAAACATTCTTCTTCCTTGTATACCTTAAACTCACGCAATATTATATATCTCAATTTTATCTTACATAAAACTAGAAAAAATAATTTTAATTTTTTTTTTTTTGCTTCGAGATCAGTTTTCAGGTGTTTGTGAATCACTTTTAAAAATGAATCACTTTTAAAAGAGCCTCTCTAGTTCTACACAGCTAAATGCTACAGATAGTTTAAATGTGTTTTTAATACATCCACATACAACTTTGACCCAGACCCGCTGCAGCAATAACTAAAAGTGTCAGTAACAGTGAAAAAAAGTATTTCTGTGTATACCACTTTATAGGTGATAGAGACAAAGGAAAAACAGTGTTTAATAATGTTACAAAAAACACAATTATATAAATTTGCATGTTATATGTATGTAAAATATGTAAAATACAAAATATGCTCTACCTAAGAACAATCCTGAATAACTGATTTTCACTGTACTTACCCTTCTGCAAAATGATTGGGGGTGGGGGGGGGGGGCAGAGAAGATTACTAGGAATGGTTTTCTGAGCTGGTAATATGCACTAGTGGTGTGATCCCCTATCCCTACCCTTCACCCAAAATCCTAAAGAAAGAAAAAGAGAAAAAAAGGTATGTGAAGAATCCAAAAAACGTGAAGACCCTGAAAATCCAGTCTCAGAGAAACAGGTCAATTTTCCAAGTACCGAAGAGTCTTCTCATTAGAAAAACATTTTTGGTATGTGTTAAGATTAAAACCCAAACGAAAACTGAACAAACTGATCCCAAGCTAGGACAGGTTCTGTGTGGATTTAGCTGGTTAGGCAGGGGTTGCCCTTCCTGCTTTTTCAGCAGCACCCCCACCCCAGAAGGTGCTTGTGCAAGGCAAAGGCTGATTATTCTGTGGTCAAGGTACTTAAAAGGCTCTCTTGCTAAAACCTTCACATGGAAAATAGGGAGGTTCAGAGGAACCACCACTGAGAAAATGACAAAATGTGTAATGCCTACCTGCCATTGTTTGGTTTCCTTTAGAAGCCTCGGGAGCCGGTTCATAAGAAGTGACACTTTCTTCCTGCTCATGGATACTGTCCTTTGTATTTTCTTCAGTGTGGCCTTCTGATTTATGATTTGTGATCTGTGTCTCATCCTCAGGGCTAATGAAGATAGATATTTTAAGATTTACTACAGAATGCAGTTAATTTTCTTCCAAAATTATTATTATTAAATTTTAACCATATAGAAAAGATGCCACTCCCTATACGTAAGAATTGCTAATATTTTCCTTGCAATTAATCTCTTTTCTTTTTTCCCTTTATGGAAATTATAAAAATTATTAGAGTGAATAATATGAAATCTGTATGCTGAGTTTCAGTAATTATCTACATTTTGCCAATCGTGATTCATCTAAACTCCCAAATTATTATTTTTAAAAATATTTTGCTTATTTATTTTTAGAGAGAGGGGAGGGGAGAGAGAAAGAGGGAGAGAAACACCTATGTGTGAGAGATGCGGCAACAGGTTCTCTCTTGCATGACCCCTACTGGGGATTTGGCCCTCAACCCAGGCATGTGCCCTGACCTTTTGGTTCATAGGCCGGCACTCAATTCATTGAGCTGCACCAGGCAGGGCTAAACTCCCAAATTATTTTTAAAGCAAATTCCAGACATATCACTCAATCTGCAAATGCTTCAGTTTATATTTATATCGTAATATCACCAAATATCCAATTAGTGCTCAAATTTACCAGCTTTCCTGATAATGTCATTTTAGGTATGTTTGAATCAGGATCAAAACAAAGTCTATACAGTGTATTTGCCTGAAAAGTCTCTTCAGCTCTACTTTAACATAAAATATACTATTCCCCAAGCCCCTTTCAGTCTTTGCCAACTATTTGTGAAAGAATCAGGTTTATCTGTCCTTATAGTTTATCACATTCTGGATTTTGATAATTGTATACCTCATTTAAAATTTTTTATCAAGTTTTTTTTTTAAATTTTAGATTTTAGAGAGAGAGGAAGGGAAGGAGAAAGGAAGAGAAACACTGATGTGAGAGAGAAACATCAATTTGCCTTCTGTACGTGTCCCAACTGGGGACTGAACCCACAACCAAGCATTTGCCACGACCAGGAGTAGAACCGGTGACCTTCTGGTTTGATGGACAACACCCGACAAAGCCACACTGGCTGGTGCTCTCTATCCTTCACATTTAAAAAAAAAACCTAGTATGATGTTGAGTCTTGATCAGATTTAAATTTTGGAAGAAGGGGGACAGGTTGTCTCTTTTCATGTTGTTAAAAATGATCAATGAGTTCAGAAGTTATCCACTTGACTAAGTCAGTATAGAATACTGTTAGATTATTTCATTTAACAGTGTAAGCAGTCCTTGAGGACTATTCAAATCCATTATTTCCTCAGGGTTAGCAAAACAGTGATATTCTAAGTCTCTCATTCATTAGTGAGTGAAATTCTTCTAAAAAGAAAACAAATTTCCTCATAAACTCTGGATGCATTTGGGAAAGCCAAAGTAAACATTTGATTATTTCCCTTTAAGTGCCAAGTTTTGGAATAGTGAGTTGTCTCTAGTATACCCTAATGTGGACAACAAATTCTTTTTTGTTGTTGCTAGATCATTATAAACTCATATTTTTTGTTTACTGAGCTCACTGGGGTGACGTTGGTTAAAAAAAAAAGCCATTCAGGTTTCAAGTGCACAACAAAATATTACCTGCACACTGCATCATGCGCCCATCACCCAAAGCAAAGTCTCTTTCGTTTCTGTCTCTATTTATCCACCTCGGCCCTCGGCCCTCTTCCAGCTCCCCTTTCCCTCTGGCTATCACCATACTGTTGTCTGTGTGTGTATATGAGATGTGTTAAATCTATGCCTATTAAGAAAAATTTAGTGGAGATTTTTAAAAATCAGCTATTGCCAAATATTTCCCAAATTCAATCCTGCTATTCGTTGAAGACATAAAGGCACCGATAGTAATACTAAATCATAGAACTTTTCTTTTCCAGCACTGCTGATTTTTTAATGGAGGGTGAGATTGAGGTATGCACTTAAGAACGTAGGTTAACAAACATAGCTAAAAAATAAATAACAAATCACTATAATTTTTGGAACGCTTATCAGACAACTTTAATTTCTTTTGATGAACATCTATCAATATGTAGGCAATGCTAAGGTGCTTACTTTGTTATAGCTCATGTACTTTTTGGCATTTTAAAAAAACGTATTTATTGACTGCTTCCTAGGTGCTAAGCACAGTGTTAAGTGCTACACATGTATGTTTTTTTCAATCCTTACAACACCCTTGTGAAATAGATACTAGTATTATCACCATTTTTATAACTGAGGAAACTGCACCTTAAGAAGGTACCTTGCTGGGACTGGAACCCAACTTTCTGACTCTGAGGTTCACCATTTTTTCTTTGAAATTTCTTATTTATTCTATTTTTGGACAGAGGGAAAGGGAGGGAGAAAAAGAGGAAGAGAAACACCAATGTGTGGTTCCCTCTCACATGCCCTCTACTGGAGACCCGGCCCACAACCCAGACATGTGCCTTGACTGGGAATCAAACCAGCGAACCTTTTATTTGCAGGCTGTTGTTCAATGTACTGGAGCCACACCAGTCAGGGCTGAAGTTCAGCATTTTTAAGCAGGTATACAAATTTGTGAATTATTTATTTGTTTTCCCTAATTTATTACCTGTATGAAATACCCTCAGGCATTTCTTCTTTATTTCTTTCTTTATCCATCACTTCTTCAGAATTTACTCCATTTGGCTCAAGTTTGGAAGGTGTTTCATAAAAAACATTTTCAGTTTTTTTAAACTACAGAATAAGAAAAAAGATTTTCTTTTTCAAAGCATTCATAGCACACCGAATGTTTAAAAGTAAATCTGAAATAATTCCCAAATAAAAGTTTATTACGAAAATCATACCTTGTCAAATATTTACTAAAACATAAATTTAGGTTCAAGTATCTTTAAAAGTTATTTGCCCAAAGGCACGAAGCACATTGCTGTTAGTTGTGTGGGGAAGTAAGATCCCAAATTTAACTGGGTTAGCAGTAATTTAGTCCAGCCTTGACTGATCATGTTTTAAGTTTTCAATTGATCAATCAAGTTACACAAAATTGATCATTTGACTTAGATCTTTGGCTTCTGTGGGAGAATAAAACAGGACTTTAAACCTTATTACCACTGGCTCTAATCTTCAAAAATCTACCACTTTGGATTATCCATCTTAAAATCTCTCTACCTCTTTGCTGAAATCTGTATTTTGAGGTTCAGTTTCTTCTAGTCGAACAATTTCTGTGGCAGAATCTTCATGGTTTGTCTTTATATCATCTTCTCTAGCGACAGTGTCCACTTCCTTTATGTTATCATCTTTCTTTCGAGTCTGTCCAAAAGACACACAGCATTCTGAGATTCGTACTACACAGCCATCTAGAGAGCACATGTTAATTCTGAAAAATAGCTGGATCTTCACTTACAAGGTTTCCTGATGAAGATCAAGAAGAACTAAATATATTTAATATACACCAATATACTGGCATTTTAAAAAATATACAATATACATTACTTATATATTAATACATAGCATATTAACATATGGCAGTATTCCACACACTTTTTTATCCTTGCCTTTTAAGATCACCCATTTTGCAATTTGTAGAATGCACAGTTATTCAACCATACAACAGCTAAATCTCCATTAGCAATGCCTGCTCTTGGTTAGATGAAAATGGACCTTCTATGAACATGGGGAAGCACTTTTGGCTGATCCGTTCTACCAATAGGGACAGACCAAACTGAAGCTACTGAGGTCTGTCAGTTGGTTCTGTATTTGTGAGTTGGGGTAATAAATAAGAAACAGAATGGTGTTAATTTACTGAAGTTGAAATAAAATGAACAGAAATTTTATTTAGAAGCTCTGTCCTGCTAGAAACTGAGGTCATGTTAAATTAGGACAGAGTAATACAGATTTTCTGGGAGGGGGACTGGGTATGTTGGTAAACTGCATAGCATTTTACACTTGCTGAAAGCACTTTTATCTTCTTAGAGTCTCTGTGAAGCAGAGGGGGCAGGTCGCACCTGATTTACGGCAGAGGAGATGAAGTCCACAGCCGCTGCACGGGCATCCAGCAAGTCTGGTTCTCTGAACACAGGGCAATTTCTGTTATACTAAGCTGCCTCAGCTTCTTATTCCAGAAGTTAAATAACATAAAATAACTATCCACATTGCAGACATCTGACTACCCATCAAACATGTAACTATGATTCTAAGACTCAAGTGATGCTGGATTTTCACACAAGAAAGATTAAAAGCAAATGATATACCTGGGTAACCCTGAATGGATTGTCCCTTAAATTTGAAGGACTTGGTAAGGGTGACTGGTCTAAAGCACCAATAACATTTAATACTTTTTTCTTTTCCCTTAAGCATGCTTGTTGATGTCTCCTTATTCTCTCCATTTGTTCTTCCACAGTCATCCGAGGTCGAGTACTTTCAGCCAAACAGAGCTGTTCCACTGCACTTCTTGGTCTTTCCTTTAATTAAAATTAAACATATGAATGCATAAATACAGAGTGACTTCTGAAAAGTATGTTGAAATAAAATAGATTCTAAGATGCATGTCTTTTGTCTTCCAAATCAAAAGTGGAGGTTTGGGAGTTCATGTAGGTAACACCAGAAAGGCACGTAATTTTATCCTTCACTGATAATTGGTGATGCATGTATTTGATGAAAAAAGAGAAAGAGGAGAGGGAGAAGGAAGAGAAACTAGTGAGGATATTCTATCTCTTTTAAATACAAAAGGGTATGGCAGCTTGGTTCTACAACAGGAAATTGTATAAAACTCAAATGAGGAAAAAATAGGGGATTTATTTTAATGAAAATGTAAATTTTTAAGTCACATATTAACTTTGAAAGACTAGTAGAGAAAACATCCTTAGTTTATGATCAATAATAAAACTATGGATATATCTCTTTTCTATAAACATTTTTATGATTTTATGTTACTGAAGGGTTTAAAAATATTACTCCCAGTAAACAACCAATTCTTATTTTTATCTTTCTCACTAAAAATATAAAACAATATTGGTATAATATCCCAATATTTCAATAATTAGTTATAAGCAAATTTTAGCTTATTTTATATAGTAGACTTTTTATTTATTTTTTAAAGGTTTCATTTATTTTTAGAGAGAGGGGAAGGGAGGGAGGAAGAGAGGGAGAGAAAAATCAATGTGTGGTTCCTTCTTGCATGCCCCCTACTGGAGGCGGAGGCGGAGGCGGCCCGGCTGCAACCCAGGGAAGTGTCCTGGCCCAGAATTGAACCAGCAACCCTTTGGTTCACAGGCCCTTGCTCAATCCACTGAGCTACACCAGCCAGGGCTATATAATAGACTTTTTAAAGAGTAAACATATTCTAGGAGCTATGGCCTGAATTGGTAGAAACTGATGAAGATGCTGAAGGAGTTAGGGGGTGTTTTTAGGAAAACCCAGGGCAGAGGTAAGTATTCCTGTGACCTGAGCATGATATTAGGCTAATGGCTAAGATTGGTTTCTTCACTTCAATCTGAAAAGTGTCTGCAGGGTGGGAGCTGTGACTCTGGAACAACCCTCTACTGTACAGGATAGATGTCTTAAAGTGCTCAAGCAGAAACTAAAAGGAAAAGGAAAACTGAAAAGGCTTAATGTGCAGGAATACCAATTCTAATTTATTTGTAAAATAAAATATATTTTGCTTTTGCAAAACAAAAAAAGTAAATTCTAATAGTGATTGGGAAGTTGACTACATTAGCACCCCTTTCTGTTTTATTTTTAGTAACCACAAAAATGCATTTTTCTGGTTTATTCTGTTTATACAAAAATGTTACCACACTGCAACTTTATCCAGTTATTGTGAAACCTACTTTCTTTTTTTTTCATGCCCCCAACTGGGGACCTGGCTCACAACCGAGGCATGTGCCCTGACTGGGAATCGAACCAGTGACTTTTTGGTTTGCAGGATGCCCAATTCACTGATCCACACCAGTCAGGGCTACTTTCTTCTTTTTGAAAGCTGGATATTAATAATTTTTAGATCTTTTCTTCAATATTGTGATTGGAAGTAAGTCTCTCATTTGGGAAGCTCAGTTAGCAATTTAAAAATTCTTACTGGGGTTGAGCAATTTTAATTTATTTGTGAACTGTTTCATATTTTCCATAAAAATCCTTAAAAATAAATGATTTATATTTATCCCTCATATATTATGGAACTTGTTTGTTATATTGCAGCTATTTTCTTTTGGTATTGCTTATAAAGGTCTTCCTTGGACCAACATTATGTAACTATAGTTTTCTATACTTCTCCCCCAGTATTTCATTATGTAGAAGTCTTTTCTTCTGGTATTTAAGAATTATATAAAAAAAGATAATTAAAGAATAATATAGATCCACTAATATCTTTCTCCTTGATCTCAATATGCATTTTTAGTCCTTTTTCTGTTTACTTTAGCATTACAATTTCCAAAGAACACATCCTCCAGTCTACAAAAAATGCCCAATTCTCTATGAACAAACAAACAATAGTATTATAGAACCATAGTCACTAATGTTAATATTGGTACATAGCTATTATTTTTATTCTAAAAAAATTAATTTTATAGGTCTTTGCAGTTTTGTACTAATTATAGTTCTTATAGATTTGTCAGATTTTTTGGCATATACTTTGCAGCTATACATCAACAGCTTTCAAGGATAACCATAAACTCATTCATTTGTAGTACCTTTCAGTCTCATATCTTAAAATGATCTCATACCAAGTAGGGGAGACTTTATAAAGATGAAAAGCTCAAATTTCTGGGGCTACTTGGTGAAAAGAGAGGTAAGTACCCTGAGAATCTTCCTAAGAAGAAGAGGACTGGACTGTTTAGAGCCAGTTTGAATTCAATGGATCTCGGATGAAAGTGTAGAATACGGGATTTATTTCCCAATCCCAGTTTACATTTCTCAGAGTAACCAGAGGATTGGCACACTCCAATTCTACCAGTTGAAAGGGGCCCTGCAAACTCAGGTTAGCTTGGAAACCATTCACTTAGGTGACCACAGGACATATGCATCGCTCTCATCAAGGAAAATGCTAGAAGTGTCAAGAGATATAATGCAGGACAGTTATCTGAGAAGACGTTCCACAAACTGTGGGCTCAGCCTCATGTCAGAGGTGATCAAAGGTAACCTAGGTTAGGTATTGAGTAGGTCTGTCCTCTGAGGTGCTAATTCCCTGTACATGTATTTTTAAAAGGTTAGTTTTGCCCTGGCTGGCGTAGCTCAGTGGATTGAGCGCGGGCTGGGAACCAAAGTGTCCCAGGTTCGATTCCCAGCCAGAGTACATTCCTGGGTTGCAGGCCATAAACCCCAGCAACCGCACGTTGATGTTTCTCTCTCTCCCTCTCTCTATCGCCCTCCCTTCCCTCTCTAAAAATAAATAAATAAAATATTAAAAAAAAAAAAGGTTAGTTTTTCTTAACAAGTATGTAACAAGTTTTTTGGTAACACACTAAATATGGAAACATAGATAAGAAAGCAATAACAAGGTATCAGAATCCTTCTAGAAATTAATTTCTATCTAAATACCGTTCTTGAATCCATCATCTTCTTAGTTTTCCTTAAGGTTACATATGAGGCTATTGTGGAAGATTCAGGTGTTGGTGATTTTGTTCTTGGAGGGACCACTCCAACAGGAAAGTGGGCACCTAAAAATGAAAACAGTAGTCATCTCTTACACAGCATTGCTGTCTTCGACATACTCAACTACTGAGGCTTTTAAAATCACAAGGCAAATTCACTGTTTGAAAAGAGCCACGGAAAATGCAATAGCTTTCCATCAGTTATTCTTAGTAAGCTAGCCAATCGTATTACCAGACAAATTTAGAATGAGGGTTGGAAATACGGCTCTGCAGACTGAGATATTAAAAATTTAGTATACTTAATAGATCACATATACTCACAACCACCCTGTAAAGAAAAGGTTAATGGAGGGCAGCAACGGGTTAATTTGCTTCCTCAGTCCATACAGCTCATCAGCACCATGGCCTAGAGCTTCTGTGTTAGCCCTGGTTGCTGCTCTGCTTCTTCACAAAGCATTCATGTTTTTAGGGGTTGAAAGTGCCTTAATCTAATCCTCTCACATAAGACAGATGACAAAAAATGGCCCAGGTTTAAGTGGTTCACCTAAACGTCTTTAGTTTTCAGTTGGTCTCTTTCAACTACACTGTACTTACTGTCTCAATAAAGAACACACTAATTATGTTAACAATAGTTAACTACAGGTAAGTACTGTCACTTTCTCTTTTATAAGAAGAAAACAAACAAAAGAAACTCACATCAACTGGAAAAAAAAAGTGTCTTATTCCCCACCCTCTTGAGAAGACAAACAGACCAATCATTCAGGGCCACTCAATTAAGTCGTAATATTATTTATGAACTGAGTTGTTTTGAGAGGTCTTGTGAGGTGTTTATATTATGAAGTGGTATATTTGAGAATGTGAAGAATTGAACTGATACACGGTACATGTAATTTTGCAACTCAAACAAAGAAAAGGCCTCTATTGTGCCAGCCAGTGGTCCATTTTTAAAAAAGCCCTACTTTAAGTCATGCGCTACAAATACACCACAATTGATCTGTGTACTATGGACAACAATACAGATGAGGACTTTTACATAAAACAGCCAAAGTTTTAAAAGAGGCAAAACTTTGAGGAAGAATTCGAACTGTATTCAAGAATGTATTTCAGATGCTATGTTTTTTATGAGTAAACACACACATCAGTGGAATGATCATCTAACTTCTTCACTTTCATTCATCCCCCAGTTTGAGAAACACCATCACAATCTTCACTGGCCTTTTCTCAGCCTTCCTAAATCTCTTCTTCCCTGTCTTGTTGCATGGATAGTAACTGTTAAGTTACATGTGTATCTTCCCCCTGCTTTTCTTTATAGTTCTGTAATATTTAAATTCCTAAAAATATACTATTTTAGTTTTACATAGTGTTAACCTATATGGATACTGAATTATATATTATGTATGTTTCTGCAACTTGATGGTTTCACTGAACAGTATGTTCAATTTCTTTGTAAACTCAAGTTTTAGATGTTTTTGTAAATACTATATAGCTGTTTCTAATTGTAAGCAGTTTGACAATCTTTGTTCAGCTGAAGCATTTAGTTCCAATAGATTTGTTGTAATTACTGATATATTTATGTTTACTTCTGACAACTTGTTTTTTGCTTTGCATTTTGTCCACTTCTCTGTTTCTCTCCCACGCTTTCTTCTTCTGGACTACCGTTCAGGTTGCCTCCCTACGAGTTTGGAAGACAATATAGTTTACTCAACTTTTAAAGTCTAAAGTTAGTCAGGATCATTCCAGTTCTCTGGAAAAGTACAAGGACCTTAGAACATGTTAATACTAACGAGCCTCTTCCTGTTTCATGGGCAACTCTTGTCAAATATTTTAGTTCTAAGATCCTCCTACCTGAAGTATTACAGAGTTCTCTTAACTGATGATCAGTATGTGGCAAACTCTCCCAGGCTTTGTTTTTACTACCTCTCAGGTTTTATTGAGGCAAAATGCACATGGAAGTGTGCAGATCTTAAGTGTACAATGGGTGAGGTTTGACAAATGTATGCCTGTGGGGTCAGCTTAAACAAGATAAAGACCACCCTCGCCACCCCACAGCTTCCTTCCAGTCAATCCCACCCTTCTGCCAAAGGCAGCTACTTCTCTGCTATCACCAATGGATTGGTTTTGCCTCGTCTCAAACTTCGAAAAAGGGAATCATATACCATGTCTCTCTTGTGTTGGGCTTCTTTCATTCAACATAGTTGCTTTTTTTTTCATGTTTATACATGTTGTTGATTCAGACACGTTGTACATTTATCAGTAATTTTTTTAATTGCCAAGGAGTATTCCATTGTATGAAGATTTGTTTACCTGCACTCTTGTTGACTGACATATGGTTGCTTCTAGTTTTTTTCTATTATGAATTAAAGCTTCATTAATCCTTGTAGAAGTCTTTTTGAGAAATTATGTGTTCATTTTTCTTAGGTAAAGACACAGGAGTGGAATTGTTCACTATACTAATTGCGTGTTTACCTTTGTAAGAAACTAATTGTTGTTCTATCCTATCCCACCACTGGGAATGCGTGAGTTCCAATTGCTCCACATCCTAACCAACACTTAGTAATCTTTTAAAATTTAGTCACTCTAGAGTCTAGAAGATGTAAATTGTGATTTTAATTTGCATTAAAACTGCATTTCTTTTACGATTAATCAGAACTGTAAACTTTTTGAATATGTAGTGTTTTGTCTACTTTTGACTGACTTGTCTGTGTTTATTATTGATTCACAAGAGTTTAAAAGAATATTCTGGATACAAGTCTTCTGTCAGGTATATGTATTGCTAATATTTTCTCCCATTCTGATGGACAGAGTTTTTAAATTTTGTTGGAATCCAATTCATTTTCAATTAGAGTTAAGTTACAATTATTCTTCTAAGTGTTTCCTAATTCTCATAACATGACCACATAGTATTACTTACTATTAGACAATATCAAGAACATATTCAAATTTCTGCAATTGCCTCAAGAAATGTCTTTAGAGACTCTCCCTTCAAACCATAATGCAGTCAAGGTTCAAACATTGCTTTGTAACTGGTCTTCTTTAAGTTTTTAATCCTGAATGTCCTCCCCCTACCTTTTTTCTTTACAATATTGAAAAGGACCAGCACTTAAAAAAAAAAAAATCAGCCCTGGCTGGTATAGCTCAGTGGATTGAGCGTGGTCTGTGAACCAAAGGGTTGCCAGTTTGATTCCCAGTCAGGGCACATGCCTGGGTTGCAGGCCAGATCCCCAGTGGGGGCCACATGAGAGGCAACTACACAGTGACGTTTCTCTCCCTCTCTTTCCCCCTCCCTTCCCCTCTCTAAAAATAAAATAAATAAAATCTTTAAAAAAACGTATAAAAAAATCAGAGTACACCTAGTAAGGGTACTATTTCATGGATAACTTTATTCATTTTATATAAATTGTTTAAAAATTTGTTTCAGCCTTTAATCTTTTACGTACAATTTTTAAATAGAAAAAGGCCTTTTTTTTCATGGACTTATTTCTCAGTAAAACCCAACCCTAAATGACATGAAACTTTTTATCCTTTATCCCACTTGGGATAAATACCCCAGAGACACCGATGGGTTTATCAGGCCTAGCTGGGATGACATGTACTATGTGGTTTATGCATCATGTCACTTTTCTAACACATGAATACTTCTGAATTCAAAAACTTACCAGATTCCACAGTTTTCAGATAAGGCACTGTGGACCTGCACAACTACTGGGTCAACATGAAAACTGAACTCACTGCTAAAACGTCTGAAGAACATGGGTGATAAAACATCTGAAATACTGACCTTTAACTGAAGTTTCCATTTCTGAAACGGGCTCTGATTTTTCTTCTCCATTAGATTCATCAACTTCTGCTACCGTTGTTAACTCTGGTTCACTCTTGTAGAGTCTATAATCTGGACCCTTGAAATGAAGGTATGTAATTACAAAAACATTGCTACAAGTTTCTTTTAAAATGTTTACCTATAAAGACTCATATCAAACTCTAAAAGTTAAAACCTCAGCTAGCTTTCTTGGGTATAACACAATTGATTAATAGGTGTTACAAGTAAGGTAGAAAAAAACAGATGAGATATTTTTAACAGGTAAATGTTTTGGTTTTAAAATTAAGAATATTCCTCTTAGGGATAACATCATTGGAACATTTTTATCATAGTATAACTGAGGTCTGAAAACAATTATATCATATTAACTCAATTAGCCCCACTGCTTTTTTCCTTATTCTCTTCTCCTTGCTTGTTACAGTTTACACTGATTTGTTTAACCCCAAACCTTTTATTCCCAGTGTCCATGGGTAACATCTCTCCTTGGCCATGGCCACCCTCTAATGGGTTTCTTAGACTGGACTGCGCTCCTCCCAACCCTTTTATCATTCCTAGTCATCTTTTTCTTTCTTGCTTCTTTCTGATTTAAAGATTTCACTTGTCTCTGATATTCCAAAATGGTATATTTAAATTATGAGTCCTCAGACAAATGCAAAATAACCATTTTAGAAAAATATTTATGAAAGATAAATCATGAAAGATTTTAAAATTGTGAAAATATTAAAACGTGAGAATGATAAAACCAAAACAGGAAAAACAAACAAAAATGACATTATAAACAAACAAACAAAAAATCATTGGTTAAAATTGGTGTTATAATAAAAACAAGTCTGAATGTAAAATAAATTCACTTTAAAAAATGACAGGGCATGTATAATTGATTGTTCTGTGGCTACTGTAGCCACTTACACAGTGAGATCCATTTCTTGTATATCCTTGAACTTGATGAATCTTCTTTTCTTCAGGCAGATGGACTGGGCCCCTGCTATAACAGAGCAAGGAGCTGCTATCACTGGGCAGAGGGGGGATTATGGGAGGCTGCTCTGTAAAGTCATAGGACCGAGGAAGTGGAGGACGAGGTGGGACTACTTCCTCTTCCTAAAGATTGTAGAATAGTCACCTTATTTAGATAAGCATATTGAATTAAGTGTATCTAAATTCTTTGCAATGGTAAGTTAACTTAAATTAACTTTAAGATAATTAAAGGGACACTGCCAAGCTGAAAGTCTCATATTGCAAAGCAAAACCCAAAATATTTATGATAGCCAATATGGTTTGAAATATGCTTGAATCTTTTCTTGGTAACACATAGGTTAGCTTTACTCTGAAGCTCAACATCTAAACAGATATATGGTACTACTATATTTCATTTTAAAAACAGAAGAAAAAAGTTAATTTGAAAATCTTACTGCCTCATTTTTTGGGTAATTTTTAAGGGAAAAAAGATAGACACTTCTTTTTGATTGGCTTTTATACATAATTAAGACCACAGATTCTTTCAATTAGGTTGACAGTATCTCTTTGCAGTTGCAGTTCCTTTATGGTATGCATGATACACAGCCAATTTATCTGTCAATCATCCTACACATTTTACCAAGTATTACAACGTAAGTATTCAAATTACTTATATCAGAAAAAGTATGACAATGTTAAAGTTCTAACACAGATGAATAATAGTGATTAAAATTTTTACATTAAAGGAAGAAAAATCACATTTGTTAGAAGTACCAAATTACTGAACCAGTGAAATTTTAAGACCAAAACAATAATTTGAATATATTTATGAAACATTTTTATGAGTAGAGAAGACAACTCTAATTCATGTTTTAAATACTTAAAATAATTTATAGACAAACAATCCAAACTTACCTCATTTTTGTACTTAACTGTTGAGAAAGGCCTTGATACTGCTATACCTGTTAAAAAATTGTAAAACAACTTACACTAAACATATCTTTTGAAATTTCAGAACAAAGAATAATTTGATTTCACTTATTTTACAGATTCTATTTTTAAAAGGACTTTATTTTCAGAGGGGGGGGGAAGGAGGGAGAAAGAGAGGAGGAGAGAAACATCGATGTGCAAGAGAGAGAAACATTGATTGGCTGTCTCCTGCACACCCGCAACTGGGGACCTGGCCCGCAAGCCAGGCATGTTCCCTGACTGGGAATCCAGCTGGAGAGCTTTTGGTTCACAGGACGCCTAAACCACTGAGCTACACCAGTCAGGGCTCATTTCACTTAATTTAAATTAAGCCTTCAGAATTTTAAATTAATTTAAAAAATACAGTTAAAACAACTGTTAAAACAACTAACTTTAACAAGTTAAAACAACTAATTTAAACAAGGGTATAGGGAAATGAGTTTCCTCAAACATTTATTGGTCTAAGTACATTTTGATATAATCTTTTGGGAGAACAGTTGTGGCATGCCTATCAAAATGGATATTATGTGCTCATTTCCCACTTGGAATTCTTAAGTACAGCATATGTTTATATTTACAGATACAATGATGTTCATTATAGCATGCTTATGACAGGGAAAAAACCAACCAATTAACCAGCCAACCTCCAAACTTAACGCCATGTTCGTCACCACAGAAATGGATATAGTCTATACAAAGAACTCTTTCATAGCAATTACTGTATTATAGTTAAGGAGAAAAAAGCAAATGGTTGAAAATAAGTATAGCATGATTCTATTTTTTGTTGTGGGGGAAAAACTCATAAAATCAAACCAATGTTTGTGTTTTTATAATTACAATACACACAAAACCATGATTTATTTTTGAGTGGGTGAGGCTGCTTTTTACTTTAGAAAGTTGTATACGACCACAAAAAGAGTGCCTGTTTTCAGATGTCGAAAATCTATGAAAACAAAAGTAACCCCATTCCCTGTGTCCTCCCACTTAGATCTAAACTGCGGACAATGACTGCAGACATGATACAGAAAAGCTAACCTACCCGTTTCTGTAGTGCCTCTTTGCTGTTTGTGCTTACTCAGGCCTTCCATGACATCCTGGATTCTCCAAAGTTCTTTCTGAATCTGTGCACGCTGAATTCCTGCTGATTCAGTCTGTCAATAAAAAAGCAGACCATGAATAAGAAAAAACTTACTTCCATTTTACCAATAAGAAAACTAACACCTAGACCTTGATTCCAGATCTGCCTATTTATGAAACTGGATTCTGTATTCCACATGGTGCTATATTGTCCCCTATCTGAATAATATTATCAGTCAAGATAATAGACTACATATAGTTTTGTTTTAAAAAGCAGCATTTAATATGGAATAAATTTCAATGAATTTTATATAAAATGATAAAATATGTATTATTTGATAAATTCATTTATAATTCAATACTTCAGTACCAAGTGACATACAGTTAGCTAGAAGCATAGAACGCTTCAGGGCTCACACCATGTACCTGATGGAATATAGAACTTTTATGAAACAATGTAAGATGGGAAATCTTGTGAGATAGAACAATCCCTCTCATTGGAAGTTTTCAAACCCAGGTCTTAGGTAGCCAATATTATAGAAACTGTTATGGGTATAAATGAATCTAACAGGGTGGGTGGTATTAGTACTGGTTAAAACAATGTAAAAACAAGACACTTTCGTACCTGAACTTCTCCAAGGCGATCCAGCTGCTCCTGCATCTGGTTCCTGGTGACAGTTACATCGTATTCTAACTTATCATATTCTCTCCATGCTCGTTCCAGTTCCTAAAATCAAAGAGTTTTAATTATTCTAATGGAGAAAGTGTGCTTTTATGTGGTTATCATTGCAATTATTATATAGTTTATACTGGGCAAAAAAAAAGTTGTAACTCATTTTTCTTTATTGTTTAAAGTACTTTCTTATATGAGTTGATTAAAATTTTTCCATGAATAAAAATAGTAAATAGGCTGTATTTTAGCCTGTTAGGTTTTCAACAACACTAGAAGCCTGATATGACTTGACTTCACAGTAATGAGTAATTTACAGTAATGTAATAAACCTAATTCAGCTAACTAAACAAGCCAGCGAATCCATGGAGATTCCATAAAGACACCACCCACCTATACTTTTCTCTTCTGGAAAAACAATCACCCCCACACATGGTCTTTAACTACTTGTTATCTGTTGACTATGGAATGATGCTACTAGTGCGCAAATTACACCATCATTTCACTGTTTCAGGAAAGCTCTTTTGTGGGAGTGTCTGCACTCTTTTATGGGTTGTAGTTACTCTTCAGACGTTTCAGAGTGATGTGAGGTTGACAAACTGATCAACTAGGCACAGGGACAATATCTGATTACTACCTTATTACCAGTTATCTACTGTAGTGTTGGCACATGGAATATAACCAACAAGTATTTCCTGAGTGCAGCTGTAGGGTGAATCAGTAACTCCTGTCCAAGAACCTCTCCCATGACCAGGGAGTTCTTGCCTTGAATTGCTCCCAACAAAACTTCCCTGGGCATTGTCAGTTTAATAGCAGCAAGTCTGGGCACAGGAAAGAGGGTGCTGAGTGTAGAAGGAAGGTTACTCAAAATCATCTTAGTTAAAAAACAAATAAACAAACAAACAAACAAACCTCAAGTTCCTAGAGTGTCTCTTTTAAAGAGTTATTTTACTTTGCGTATTCTACAACTAGCTTAAAGTCACTTTTAAAAATGTAGGCAATGAAAAATTATACAAGGTGCATATTTTAAAAAATTAAAAGTCTTAATTTGGGTCATTTGTAGTAATTGCTTTGTGAATTGAACATCTCTTCAAGCAGGTTTCACAATGAATTACATTTTTTTAGAAAAGCAGACATAAACCATTGGAGAGTTTTTCATCATTTCTATATTAAGTAGCTAGCTTAAGGATCCTATTAAACAGATTTCACAATGAATTAAATTTAAAAAAGCAAAGTAATAAAGAACTACAGATTTTTAAAAAAAAATAATAAATGAAGTTTTAATTGACCTAGAGACAAAAACTACTCAGCAAGGTCAGTAAGCATTTCAGCCTCCTTAGTGTGCTAGAGTCTAGCCTGGACAGCGTTCAGGGAGAGGGTTGATTCACTCTTCTACTCCATCGGCAGCATCAGAAAAACAAGGGATGACCGGCAGTTTAGACGAAATGCAGGGCTGGCAGCCACGCCCAGTCCTTAGACCCCACACCTCTTCAGCTCCTCTGCTCTGCCGAGGTAAGCTTTGATAGCGTCTTCCTTGGAAGTCCCTCTCAGCTCATTCCAGACATCCCACCTGGCCTTGCCTTTGAGGCCCAATACCCTAGGCCGTTCTGTATGTATGTCACCCCCAGTTGCTTGTTTGTAGTGGCTGTGGATGGACTGAATCTCATCGTCTGCTGGCTTGGTCCTGAGGTGCTTACTCTCCTCAGTAGCGCTGTCAAACTCAGCCTGAGACATGCTGGCAGGATTACAGGGAGCTGGCAGAGGCGGCGATGAGTGGAAAGAAGTCAAGAACTACAGGTTTTTATCTTATCTATATTGAATAAATATTAGACTTATGAACTTGGTTTCAGCCAACTTTTTACCTGAATGAACAAGGATATAAAACAGCTTCTAGCCATCTTCTAATTTATACACATCACAAAAAATGCAAGCGTAAATAGTGGGTCTTTGAAAGCTTGGAGGGTGGATAGGGAATGAGGACAATCGACTCAACGGCAGCTCAGTGATGACAGAAGATGGTATTGCCCAGCTGACACCCGGCCACTCTTGCAGAAAGGCCAGAGTTCGGGGTGGGCTCAAAGGCACTGGAGAGGCATCTAAGTAGAAGAATTTTAGGATGGTGGGAATCTTTGTCTTTCTTATAGGAACACATGAGAAATAGAGATTGAAAGCTAGAGATTACCAATATTTTAGGGGTGAAGAAACATAATATACTTTCAATTTGCCTAACCTGAAAAGTCCTGTCATGGACACTGTTACTGGGCCTGAGTCTCACAATGCTGCCGGGCCTCCCATCTGCCTTTACCTCTTGACGCCTCAAACAGGACTATGGGTGGGCAGAACACAAGTCGACGGGATGGTATGGGAAGGGGGCGCTGGCACAGCAGCGGTTTCCTAACACCTGCCTGAGAATTTCATGTAAGAATTCAATGGGTTCTACAAGTACAATGTTAAATTTTTGCATATGACATTACTGTTATCTTTTCAAGACAATATATAGGTACACCAAGGAAATTAAAAGGGGTAATGATTTTCAAATACACAAGTATCTTAAAATCCATATGTACAAGTCAGGAAACAGTGTTTCCAATAAAAATGTGAAGTTTTACATCACACAGTTCAGAGGATGAACTCTTGACTTCTGCAACCACGTGGATGAAACTCAAGAAGGTTTCAGAAGCAAAGAGTATATACCATATGATCACACTTTATTAAGATACAAAAACAGGCAAAGCTGATACACGGTTTGAAAGTTGGGTAGTGGTGTTCTTGGGCAGAGGCAGTCTCTGGGAGGGGAGCTTCCGGCCTGCTAGTAAAATTCAGCGTCTTAATATGGATGTGAGCCGCATCTGCACGCTTATTGGTGTACTTTCCTGAGAATATGCCATACTCTAACAAAGGGGAAAAAATATGTGTGCATGTGTGGGATTGTTGCAGATGTGGCAGAGGACTTTAAAAACCTGGCCTAAATTTAGGGCATGGAACAAGTACATTTTAAAGTGGTTGCTTCCTTATAATCTGTACTATAACACTTGGCCACTGTAGGTGGAACAAAAACCTTCAAATAGGTCTGCAACATTCAGATGTAATCAATTCCCAGACTACCAAAAAAAAAAAGAGAAAAAAAAAAGAAAGAAAAAGAAAAAGAAAAAAGAGGATTTAAAAATCTAACTACAGAGTTATAACAGATACATGCTGTGATCTTCAGCCCTGGCTGGCGTAGCTCAGTGGATTGAGCACAGGCTGGGAACCAAAGTGTCCCAGGTTCGATTCGCAGCCAGGGTACATTCCTGGGTTGCAGGCAATAACCCCCAGCAACCACACATTGATGTTTCTGTTTCTCTCTCTCCCTCTCCCTCTCCCTCTCCCTCTCTCTCTCTCTCTCTCCCTCCCTCCCTCCCCTCTCTAAAAATAAATAAAAACAAAAACATACTGTATCTTTAAAAAAAAAAAAGAATTAGGAATAATAATTCATTTCCAAGCTTTTTATGTAGTAAGAATTTCCTTTTCTTATCCAGAAACAATGGCTATTTATAATATAATCCACTTGGGGCAAATGGTTACAAAATGTGCTTAAATAAGTAAAGAATTATAACCACATTATGCTTAGAGCTAACAGAGACTGGTTTACTTGGGGTTTGCCTTTTAATTAGTGCTTCTGAGTTTTAATCTAAGAAATGTTAATTGACGGATTTTCAGTTTCAAAATAGATAGAGGGCAATAATATACATGCAGTATGAATACTTATTAATTTCTTACGGTAATCTTCAAATAACTCTTTTCAATTTTAAATATTACAGATTAATGTCCACTACTAACTCTTGGAAAATTAAAGCATTGCAATATTTAAACTTAGCGTTATATTTTGAAAGTTATTGGCAAGAAAAAAATCATTAAATCTTTTGAAAATTGAAATCACTACCACCTAACCATAACAATTCTGTTAAGTGGGTATTAGAAACAACTGCTTTTTAAAAGATCAATTAAAATAAAGTTAATCTGATTTCATTTTTACTTTCAGGATGTAAAAATTTCTTGGCACAGATTTTTAAAAAGTGCTTAGTTATTTCAATAATTCTTTTTAAAAAAGAGCATTTGTCTTCTATGACTTTATACTTGCCTTATAACATAACTGCATCTCAAGTAAAAACCACTACTTACAACATGACACACCTTACTATACTAATAATGACTATGGTGGTGTTTTTTAAACCTAAAAAGACGTTTAAGAGGGACCAAATTGAAACTGCATAGAGAGAAGATCAATTAAATCAGCCACAGTTACAGAGCTACCTATGTTTTAAATTTCTAGCTTATGGTAATAATTACAGTACTTCTACTTTTTGGCTATTTATATCTTTAATGTATATCTTTAGTTTTCCCTCTAATTTTCTCTTTGAAACAAAACTATATTCTATCTCAAAGGAAGTGGTTACTTCTTACTATACAATTTTAGATATAATGAACTTTTATAATTATAAAAGTAGAAACGCTGGAACACAGGAAAAGACTAAAAAAAGGACATTACTATGCTACATACTTGTTAACATTTGTGTGGATTATCTTTTAATTTTTCTCAGACACACATGATAGAAATTTCTAAATACACACAAAATTAGTGCCCACCAACCACAGAACTGAATTCAACAGTTATCAACACATAGCCAATCTGATTCCATCTGTAACACCCATATTCTATCCCTGTGGGATTATGAAACTATCATTTTGAAATCTATAAATACTTCAGTATGTATTTCTAAATAAAAAAAACAAAATGAGAAAAAATATTCTTAATTTTTAAATCAATAATATCTAACCCTTTGAAAGTATTTTTAATTACAACCCCTTCCTCCCCCTCCATCCCCTTGCTACTTATTTGTTGAAGAAAATGGACCCCTTTTTCTCTAGAATTTCTCCTATTCTCGATTTTGCTAATTGAATTCCTATGGTATTGCTTAGCATACTCTTCTGTTTCCTTTATTTCCTATAAATTTGTAGTTATATATGGAGGTTCCTGAGAGTCAGATTTGATTTTCTGGCAAACATACGTTGGGGAGTGTTGCCAGGTACGTTCTTGGGCAGCACATCAGGAGGCGTATCACATCGGGCTGTCTCTTTTTGGGGAATGTTGTTTTGTAATTATGAAATAACCAGAAAATTTAGAATATGTCTTAAAATCTTTCCAAGGATGTTCCATGACATTTCATGGATGTCAACAGGTCTACTATAAGGAATCACACTTTGCTGTAACCACAATTCTCAGCAGCTCTTTATTACACTGAAAATGACTACATAAAGTCAAGTAGTGTAAGCTTCTCCCCAAGGTGGTTCATTTACCCAGGTTCCGTGCCCCTTCAAGTGTACAATTCTAAACCTAGTTTACCCACTTTAGCCCCAAATCTCCACTTACTCATGGTCCTCCTATCTATCGAAGCATGCAGTTTAGAGTACAAATAAGTTTAACGGAAGTCTACATAATACTTACTCACCATGTAACCCCGGGAAGCCTGTGTCTCAGTTTTTCACTTTTAACACACTATAACAGCACCCACATCTAAGGGGTATTATGTGGATTAAGTCCATGTATAGCGCTTATAATGGAACCTGGTACCTAATAACTGCTCCATAAATATTCATGATTATTACTATTTCATATATTGATATTATTTTACAGTGGATAAATGCTTAAGACCTCACATGATTCAGGATGATTGGGGGCCTTTATATTTGCTTTCTGAGGTCTGAAATTCCAATTTCAGACTTTTGATTAAGAAAATTTTAAGTTCCAGAAAGTACACGGGCCTGCACAGTGAAGTGGAGCAGAAAGTATAGAAGCCCTAGAATTAAATCCTTGACTTAGGTGCTGCCTCTGCTCCTCATTAGTCATGTCACCTTGGCAAGCCTCTCACTGGGGAATTCTGAAGCATTCTACACATTTTCTCAGAGTCCTCAGTGGAATCAAAAACCCCGTTGCCCACAATGGTAACCAACTCAGCAGTGAAACCTTTATCAGCTTTACCCTCGCCCTGTCTCACCCTCCACACTCCTGAAATCATCTTCCCAAAATGCTTTCTGAACCCATTTCATCTCAGGCTCTGCTTGCAGAACAGACCCCAAACTGAGAGTTACACACTGAAAAATTTTAAGGTGGAACTGTTTTAATAACCTTTCTCTCTAATTGGGTTTAGATAAACTGAAGGCAAGGACAGAACACAAAGGCACTATGTGCTTAAAGCATGTGGGTGTGTTGAATGGATGGGGCTTATGGAGAAGAAAGATGGTTTTAAAAATTAAATAAAACTTAAAGGGAATATCGTTTTACATGTTTACCTTGTGTTAATCCTGGTTTTATGTACCTTAGTGGCCAACCAGGTGAGGGGATATTCTCTGAAGCCAAGCTTTGATCTGGGGATGCGTTGATGTTATACCTCTGGTGTTATTGTGTCTCTTACACCTCAGAACTTGGATCTGAACCAGTGTCCTGAATCAACTGTGAGAGAATCAGCAGACTCCTCTGAGATTCTGCTTGCATAAATGTTCATTCAAATTTAAATAGATTCAACATCCACTGAGTACCCAACATGTACCCAGATGTTATGCATCATTTGTAGCCTTGAGCTGCAAATATGAGTAAGTTCACATAAAGGCATGAATAACATAGTCTGTATTCTATTATTAAGATATGTCTTAGAAGAACATACTGAGGGGTTGTAATGGTCATTGAGTAATGCTGAAGGTAAAGGCAAAACACTCATGAAAGTAATTATATAGGATAACAACCAGAAAACGGATACTCAGATCCATGTAGATCTAAGTCTTCAGGACTATGGTTAGAAGATACAGATTTGTCTTTGGAGTATAGCATTTATTAGCTTTGTAATGCTGGGCAAGTCACTTAGTCCAATCATTCATCAGACTTTTACAAAAAGACTTTATTTATTTATTTTTAGTGAGAGGGAAAGAGAAGAAGAAAGAGGGTAGAGAAAAATCGATGTGAGAAACACTGATCATTTGCTGCTGGCACACGCCCTGACCAGGAATCTAACCGGCCACCTTCTGCTTTGCGGGATGACACTTAGTCAATGGAGCCACACAAGTCAGGGCTCATTCATCACATTTTTATTTCATTTTTTAAAAAATATTTTTATTTATTTTTAGAGAGAGGGGAAGGGAGAGAAACATCAATGTGTAGTTGCCTCTCGAGTGCCCCCTACTGGGGACCTGGTCAGCAAGCCAGGTGTGTGCCCTGACTGGGAGTCAAACTGGTCCTTTCAATCCACTGAGGCCGCTCCAGCCAGGATTCATCATATTTTTAATGCACATCCTATAATGCTGGATGCCAGAGCTACAAAGATGAATGAGATTTGGTTCTGGTTTCAAGGAGATAACAATAGAAAGGATATTAATTCTTCAAAAAAATCTATGAACATCACAGTATAAGAGACTAAATGAGGTAACTATTTCAAAATCAGGAATAAGAATATTAGATATAGGGTATGTAAGAATCATAAAATCTAAGTTTTGATCTATTTAAAACCATGCTATATTCCTTTAGAAATAGCTCATGTTTGGAATATTATTTTAATGGTTAGAATTGAGAAGTCACATTGAGATTCTGGTATTTTGCCAGCTTGGAAAGACCTCTCTTAGTTAAACATTAATGCCTGTGGACCTTCTGAAAAGGTAGCTGCTCTCTAAGAGCTCACTGAAGCTACAGACAAGAGTGTGTTAGCAATTTTCTTTAACAGGTGGTTTTTGTGAGGATTTGTCTTTCAAAGGGCTGCTTGGGCAGGTGCTCTTACTATGTTTTGAGATGACTACATCACAGGATCTAAAGCAGACTGTTTAAACTCATAAAACGATTTATGAACTCTAAATAAGACTTTTAGATTTGGTAATCCCAAGTGACTCTACATAAAGTGACATGACTGTGGGTTAAAAGGTTCTGCTAATTATATTTCTCACTCAAACCTATCATCTAAACTTAGATCACACTGCAGCTATGAAACTTAATGTTGACAGCTTCTTAAAAGCATTTCACAGGTGCCTTTTATTGAAAGGGTTGGTTAAGTGAACCTAATAACCACCTTCTCAAAATTATCCTAACTCCCCTAAAATCCAAATAATATTTGTTTTCCTAATATAACAAATTTTAACCTATTTAAGAATTTTTCATTTGCATTATATATTAACAGGAGTCTCTCTTGTAAAACAGCTATTTGACCAAAAAATGCCTGCTAATTAGAGAAATCAAGACCACCCTTTATTTTTGATATTAATAACAAATTAATTTCTTTTTGTAATAAAGAACAACCCTAAAAATAGCCCAATTAAACAGAAATATAAAACTGTGTAATATTTCAGTGAGTCTTACTAGGGAAAAAGTATTTGCTACTTACGGCAGTGGCTCGAGAAAGCTCTCGACAGGTGCTGAGCAGTCCGTTTTGTAAGTCGTCCCTCTGCAACACCACGGTCTGAATGGCCGCTGGGTTATCTGCATTCATTTCTATCTCCTGGCTCGCCGACAGCAAAGCTTGCTCAAGCGTGTACTATTATAATAAAAATAATTACATTTAATGTTCTGCATCATCAAATTAATTCTTTTTTACTTCAGTTATCAGTGGCCTGATAATAATCATATCAAGTAACATCAGTTGTAGATAATAAACATAATTATCCTACTTTCTCCTTGTGGAGCTGCTGAAGTTTCTCTTCCAGAGCATGTACCACTTTATCTTGTTCACACAGACGGCTTAACTTGGCCTAGGTTATAAGAGAAAATATTTTTTGTTAGCAAACTTTTCCTTGTAATTGAAGAGTGGTTAGTCATCACTTATGTAAGTGGAGGTGCCTGTAACAAGAACACACATTTAAAATGGCTATGGAATACCTAATTATGTCAATCTTTATTTTAATGAGTAAAATAAAAATGTAAACATAGCTTATAGATAGAATGCTTCAAAATCATGCACATAAAGTGAAAGTTTTTCAGCCATACTATTGAACCTACATAATTCAAAATAGTAATCAAGCAGTCTCATGCTTTAAACAAATCATTTCAACATGGTTAAGATCCCCCCCCACAAACTGCTGAATAGAGTTTAAGCGATAATATATGCAGACCTTCATTAAAACACCAAGTAGATTCTGTTGCTCTATTCTAAAAATTATGCTCATGTTCTTAGAAAAAAATATTAACAAAAGATTCCTTCTAATTAAAATAATAAAAATAAAAATACTACTAGTGGAGAAAAATCACTCAGTAGTTTTAATGTTTTAGATTCATGGTACTACCTCATTTTTTAGATTATGAAAATATGAGAGTATACTCTAATAAAATTTCAATGCTATAATAAACCAGTTCTCCACGTCTGAAAATAAAAACCTGGCCAAAATGCAAATATATCTTGAACTTTACTGCATAAGGACAAGTCAGGAAGAAATATGAGATTTTACTTCATTTATCTATTGAAGTAACTCCATTATCTTTGCTAGATACAACTCAAGACACACCAGATGGAACACAGTGGTCTCCCCTTATCCATGGGGCAAAGGTTCCAAGACCCCCAGTGGATGCCTGAAACCACAGATAGCAACAAATCCCATGTATACTGTGGTTTTTTTCCTGCATACACACACACATACACTTTATAGCCTCACTGAATTGACAGCCATCACTGTTCTTTAGCTTTGGGGTCATTACTAAAATAAGGGTCACTTGCACACAAGCACTGTGATACCAAAACATTCAATGCTGATAACTGAGAAGGGTACAAAGTGACGATGAGCAGCCGGGGAGGGCATGCAGCGGGGAGGAGATGCGGGACAAAGGGATGAGTCACCACCCAGGCAAGACAGGTGGGATGGCGTGAGATTTCATCATAATGCTTGGATTGGATGAAATCTAAAACTTATGAATGGTTTATTTCTGGAATATTCCACTTAACATTGTGGACCATGGCTGACTGCAGGTCACTGAAAGTGCACAAAGCAAAACCAGAGAAGGGGAGACTACAGTATATTGAAGTGAAAAAGAAGTAAAACTCAATGAATAAAATCAGGGGAATTCGGGAAGAATGAGATGTAAGTAAGAATGCATAACAAGTCACCGATCTAAAATATGATTATAAAGTACTAAATTTAAGTAGTAAAAAAGTGATGAAATTTGTAGAGGCTGATATTTTCTCCAAAAGATTGGGACTATTTTACTTTATCTCTAGACCTATATAATTTTTAATAAAATAGTCTTTTACTTTCATTTGTGTGACCCTTAGTATATTCAGCTATTAACTATGGGGGTGAGGGTGGGCAGAGAATAGATTGGGGACCTGGCATTTAATTGGATCTAAGTGCAAAATTTGAAAATGCTAATTCATTTGATATCATTTTGGAGGGCAGAGGAGGAAGGGGAAGTTTTTGTCATGCTCCTTTTACTTGGTTTCGGCAGAAAACACGACAGCACTGACAATATCCAGCACACGGAAACTTACATCAATATCAACTTCGTCAGGTCTGTATTTGTACAATGTGCCTCTGCATTCATCTTGTGACAGCTACAAGGAAAAATGGCACAAAGCAACTTTAAAATTAATATTTAAGAATATATTTTAGTCTATAGTTAATATTTTAGATTTATATAACTAATAAAATGGGATTTTAATGATTCTTATATTTCAGGAGTTTAATTCAAACACAGATCATTACAAAAAAATAGAAAAAAATATTTAACAGTGATACAATATGCAGGATACATTAAGAATGATGTTAACTTCAGCTTATCAAACAAAATAATAAGCTGGTCAAACAAAATTATACAGCACCTCACATTTTCCATTTGTAAGACACACATTTTAATGAAAATTGACAAATACAATCGTAGCAACTGTACTGAATCAAATATTTGAATCAGGCATAGTTCAACAGTCAAAACTGTCCTTCACAGTATACACATAATCACACAACTGTGTATGTGTACACTTAAATGTCGACACATCTTAGTACAATTTTACTAACAAAGCCTGTAACATATTGTATACATATACATAATATATAAACACACATACACAATATAGACTTATCTTGTTCTTCTGTCTTAAGAACTAAAAGATAATGGAGGAAAAGTATGGGTTTAATTGAAAAAGAGGAAAAGCATTCAAAACCTCAAAACTGAAAGCCCATGTTATTATAAATTATGGATAGTCAAATTTCATAAAAGGCTTATATGTGTTCATTGACGGCATTTGATTTATTATATTGTAAAGAATGATTATTTGGTGTATTTAAAACATCATTTCTTCAGCTTATTCCAAATATCTTTTGGTCGAATGAATCCTCGTTTCTGATTGTGCTCACCAGGGTCTCCCTAGCCACCCCGTCTGTTATACCACAGACCACACCAGAGCCTCTGCAGGCAGCATCACCACCCTTCTTGTTTTGTGACTTTATATTGACTGCTAGAAAGTAACAAACACATAGTAGGAAAATTTTAGTAGGGGCTCACTGCATGTTTACTGATTGTACTCTTTTTTGTAAACTGGGGATGGGAATAGTGTATCCCAACTACATTCTAAATTAGAAATTTGTATTTATATATATACATGCAGATTTGTAATAAGAACATATAAGTTTTAACTACATATGCCCTTTCTTTAAAAAACTGTTTGACAGTTACATCTGTAGAAGGAGGCATAATTTAAACAGCAGATAATTTTGAGTGGATCTAGAAATATGGGAATCAGTTAAGTTAAACATGTAAGCATTCCAAACACAAAAATAAACCCTGGAATTCCGAGTTTCATTTCAAGACATGACTTCCATGTACCTCATGCAAATGAGCCTGTAACTGTTTAAGCATGGTGATTATTAACTGTAAAACTTTCATAGAAACGAACATCACATGAAAAATGAATTTAATGACAAAAGTCAGAATACTTGTGCACTATTTTAAAATAAAGATCACCGAACATGTCCTCAGGGGTGTCAATTATTCTCTGTTAAAAAACCCAGTCTAAGAAAACAATTTATACTCCTATCTGAAAAAAAAAAAAGTAATGAAAAATAAATGTTAAGTGCTTAGATCCATGATAAAAATTGTAAAATGACAAAATCAGATTTTCTCATTTATAAGAAAGATATAAAGCCTTTAGCTACTAAATGTTCAAATATACCTTGCTTATTTAATATTTAAAGTTAAATGCAAAACAGCTTTACTAAACTATGAAATGTGTAATTTGAACGTAACTAGTGGATAGTGCTACATCTAGACTGAAATATGAATTGTATCCTATATCCCAGGTTTAACAGAAAAAAGACTAGTAATTTAAAATAAAAATTTAGTAATCCATAATAAATATTAAGGTATTGGTATAATTTAGGGAATCTAAACTGCGTATTCATTTTCATTATCGGTTGGCATATTGTAAAAAAGAAAACATGTACTATATAGTTATAATTTTAGAGTGACATATCTTTATAGATATATATTATTTACACAAATTAAATTATGTTGTACCTTAATTTTTAGTACCACTAAAAATTTATATAAATCTTTTATCAAATTATTCAATATATTCATTACTAGATACAAGCTAATAAAAATCTTAAAAATCAACCTTTTACCATATACTGTTTTACCTGTCAGAAGAGTATAAGAAAACAAGATTATTCTTTAAATAATTAACTTTTAAGCATGGCCTATTTTCATTACTGATAATTATTACTGAGGCTTTTCTTAATAAAGATATAGATTATTAAACAATTTCCACCTAGAATTGAAAAAGTTGCTATTTAGTCAATATGAAAATCCTTCTAGTAATTTCATAAATATTGTGATTAACTCAAGTTCTGTATAAAATGTTTCACAGCAACACTTTATCCTTTTTCACATTCATCTTTAGCAACCCCCCACCCCAAACATTCTGGGCTTGAGTACTTCAGCAACACTACAAAAAGCAAATAAAATGGCTATGTAGAAGTTAGATAATTAGGGAAATACATTATCAAACCTGACTGACTGTATAAAAATATGTGCTATATTTTATTTAGACAGAACTTTTTAATAAGGTATCTAATAACCTTTTTTAAAAACTGGCTTGGCATTAGGTTAAAACAAAATTAGTTTTATTCATTAAAATTAAACTTTCTATGGTATCCCTTTCTAAATATGAGATACACATACACACATTCTCCAAGGAAAAATTTTGGACAAATTGGATAAAATTGGACATTATATCCTATGTGGACTCAAAAATACTCACAAAGCTGTATTTGTTAATGTTAGTCTGTGTCTTTTAAAACAATTACCTATCAGGTGATTAATATCACTGATTAACTATATTACAAAAACTGGTAGAAAAATGTAATTATGAAAAGTGGCAGGATGATTAATACATGCAGAGGAATTTTTTTAACTTGATGCTTATTTCCTTTGCATTTGTTTGATTTAACTTTAGGTACTATTCATTTGACCAATTTTAAGATAATTACTGACTAGGTAATTTCTTCTTCTAAGATAATGCAAGCATAAAGGTCCTCCTAAAGCAAACCTGAAACGATGTGATTCAGACCAACAGGTCATCAGACATTATATTGTCACTGTATTTTCAGCAAAATTTCAGGACTATTAACACAGCATTGTGATGCAATGTCAGAAAAAACACAGCATTGAGATGCAATGTCAGAAAAAACACAACTATGTTGAATATAAAATTTGATCAAGTTTTTCTTTGGATAATAACATGATAAAGGAAACCTGGAGAAAAAAATCCGATTTCAATTTATGCAAATTTATAAACACATTTTAAGAAATGTGTCTGACTCTAACTTTTATTCATCAGCAATGCCCTTCAAAAATTAAATACTTTACCAGTGGCCGATTAAAAAAAAAAAAAGTCACTGGAAGACTCTCTAGACTCAACAGCGCTGAAAGCCAACACTGATTTGTTTGCTCATTTCACACCCAAGTCATGGCTGTTGATATTGGACACTCAGATCTTCCTGTTGTGTACAATTTTATTTTTTTTTGAGTATTAATAAGAAAATATTTACATAAACCTACTGCTCTTTCAGTATTCAAGGTCAGTGATGTTGTAAGAGCAGTCTCTGATATCTTCACATTAAAAAAAACCAACAACACTCCAATGAAAACTTTTAATGTGACCAAGGAATTTCAATCAGCAGGATGTTTGCATCATCAATGCTGGTCAGTAATCAATATAAAAAAGAAAAATACCAAACCAAATGAAACAGAACACCCAGGCTAGCACTCTTATTAAAAATATTCAAAACGTACAAAATGAAAACATAACCTATTACAACAAAATGGCTTTGATCTCATATCAATTTAGCATTATATAAAACAATAAACTGAGAGCTTTAGACACTGAGAAAGGTTATTAATTCCAGAACAGGTATTAAGGTTCTCAGTGTAGTATTTTGGAATGCATTGTCAAGATCCTATAATCTGGTGACTCTAAGAATTGAAAGATTACATTTTCTTTTGAAAAGTAAAGCTGTTTAACTTTAAATATTTAATATTTTATCTCCTTCTTACAAAAGAAAAACTGCTCACTCATAAAATGTACTTTAAATGTTTTGAAAACTGTGCTCAGAAATGAGTCACCCTGCCCCCAGCTGCTTCAACCTCACAGCTGCAAAGGATGACAGACCCCAAGGCGACTGATGCAAACCAGAGGCCTTTAAAGCCAGTGTGACCTCAAGGTGCTTTAAAAAACCAAACAAAAAACAATTTTACATATTTTCACCAAAACATATATTCATTTTTCATGTTAGTTAATATCTTCTTCTGTACAATTTAAGTAACTGTAACAGGCCAGAGGCCACAGTAATTTGTGAGAGTGTTGAGGTGGAAGAAGCTGATGTTGCAAAACACACAGCTAAGAACATTTAGACCATGAAATACAAAAAAACTGGGATAGGAATGTATAAAATGACTTCTTTTGCAGATCTGCAGATTACTCAGGCCCTAAAAGAAAGCCAGCCAACTCATGGTACATATTGTGAGTTAGGGAAAAGAATGAGGAAAGATATGACCTATCTTGATAACTTCACAAGAATGGGTTTTACCATACCACAGTACAGAAATGAGATTTAAAGAACTCCCATACAAATATCATCTATTCCTAATAGATCGTGGAGGTTTATTGGGGGGGGGAGGGGGCTGCCCCTCAATGGGAAAAAAACCCTTTAGTTTTCTCTAAAAATCAGTTATAATGCTTTTCCAGTTAATCAAAATTAATGGCAATCTACTAAAAATTTTGCAAATATACTGCAGACCTCCAAGTACATATCAATCAAATACTCTGCACAAGAACTTCAGGCACAAAAACTTCAGGAAAATGGCACACTTAATATTCAACAGCAAAATGTTCAGCGAAGCCATGCTAAGAATACTGCAGCATCTTGTAAAGCGAGGATGAATTGCATTTTTCCAAATAGACATAAACAAAAAATGGAGTAAGAAAAACACTAATGTCATGAGTAACTCTGAGGGTAAACCAAAACTGTCACTGAGGGGTTTTGCAGATGATAAAGCAGTATCATTCACTGTCCAAGACCTTACTTGCTGGTACAGTTGGGGTCTTAGCGCCGAGTTCTCAATCATTGTGTGAACCATGGTGATAATAGGTTCATTCTCTTTCATCTATTTCAAATCAGGAGGAGCATACAGCAAACGTCAGTTTACAGCATAGCTAGATTTGAAAGACGACACTGTAAATATAGCCTCTACTTGAATATGTTCCCAATAGTGCAGCTGTTTACATTTTACCCCAAAGATGCACAGATCTACCTTATGTAAGTCATTCTGAACAAGCATTAATGCTGTAATGTACATTCAAGGTTGTATAAAGAAAATTCACTAACGACAAAATTGCTGTATCTAGGTTTTACTTCATAAATAAAATCAATGCAATCAAATAATGAATACTCCTACATGTATTAGAATAGATGATAAAGCATCACGATCCAAAAGGTAAACTAGAGGGTGACAACCAATGAACATAAAAAAGAGAAACACAGCCTCATTTAATTGATTACTTAATCAGTAAAAAAGCTTAAAATCATATTCAGTTCTTTATAAGGCAAATAAAAAAACTGGTTCTCTACAAATACTAAAAATTTTATAATATAATAATCAATATAGCTTGTCACTAAGATACTCACATTTTATTAAAGTTAATCTTGACAGACATTTACATATACCCTACTTGTTATTATCTCACAGTGTAATTAATACCACATGTAGAATTATTTCACAGATGAGCAAACTACAAAGACTGTTTTACTTAGCAAAGACTTAGTGCATCTCCCTAGCTCTTAAAAAGGCTGAAACCATGTTTCACATTTCCAGCTGTGTTGTACTTAATTACTGCCTCTAGAAAAATATTTGTTTTAGCAGGCTCTGGACTCAAGAATTACAGCATTCAAAAAACAATGACCACGATATATATAGAGAGTAAAAGGCCAACGGAGTTTGCACCATTTGTAAACAGACAAGTCTTTAAAATTGTAATTTGAGACATTCAGTTTACATAATTTCATCCTCCATATGATAGAAAATAGGCATTTCTATCATGGTTAACAAATGGTACTTTACTGATTCAGCTATATCTACAACAGAAATTTACTAATCTTAAGATTAATAAACACATGAGTATAAAATAAATCTTAAAAACTGTGTATGTAGACAATTTTATTTTCAGTCTAGTTACCAATGTTTCATATAAATAAAACTGGTTTTGGTTATCAAGTTAGAAATTTCCTGTGACTGGTTAAGCCACTCTTTAAAAGTTTTATTACAAATCTACACATCTACCTATGAGCCAAACTAGGGCTTCTACTTACCAGTGGAACTCAAATCTACACATTAGTTAGTCTCAAACTTCTTTTCTTGCCTCCAATGAGATCGAATAAGGGACCAGGGCATTTGTGGATCACATGCCATGCACACAGGAAACAAATGTGTTGGTATGCAGTACAGAATAATTTTTTTGCAGTGTTGGAAAATAATTTATAAATAGAAAACTACAGATATATTATAAGTAGCTTAAGTCTCTACCTATTTTTGGTATTTTTAAATTTTAATTTTCAAAGCCATCTCAGCTGTACTTGTTATTTTTCAGCACCATGCCATGGACATTAGACAGAAGAGTACACGACTCAGAAATTATTGAGGGTGGGGTTGGGGGAGTGGAGGTCAGGAGTACAAGTGTTTAAGAAGTAATGGAGATGAGACAGTATCCAAATGTAAAGGACACTCAAGGTCAAACTGAGATTTCCCATGGAGTCTCGGGTATCTGGCACTACAAATGGGCCACTGTGTCAAAGGCTAGTTCTGTCAACATGGTTCACTCCTTTACGAGGAGCTTCCATATGGTACAGATTAATGTTCATACTCTAGGTCTAAAAAATTTACTTTAAAAATGTATTTAAAAGGAAAAGGGGCAATATGATTTCTGTAGAAGGGTAATGAAGCCTGATTTATTAAGTGAAATACTTTGAGAGGTAAATATGCATGTATATATAGGGAAGCCCTGTGTGATTTAAAAATACCTGCTTAATTTGCATATAAAACACCATTAAGCATTAAGTCACTGAGAAGGGATCATTGCAAAAGCAACTAGTTGAGGAACAGAAAAACTGAAATAAAAAATAATATTTAGCTCTGGTTGCTGTGGCTCAGCAGATTGAGTGCTGGCCTGCAAACCAAAGGGTCGCTGGTTCAATTCCAGTCAGGGCACATGCCTGGGTTGTGGGACAGGTCCCCAGTTGGGGGCATGAGAGAGGCAGCCACACACTGATGTTTATCTTCCCTTCTTTCTCCTTTCCTTTCCCTCTTTCTAAAAATAAATAAATAAAATCTTTTAAAAAATAGTGTCTAAATTATACTAACTGTATAGTATCTCAAAGTCATGCAAAAAAAGATCAAAACTACAAACACTAAAATGACAATAAACTCACAACTATCAACAACTGAACTTAAAACACAACAAAAACCTAAAATAAACTAATAAGCAAACAATTAGAACTGGAAGAGAATCACAGAAATGAAGATCACATGGAGGATTAGCAGTGGTGAGGGGGTGAGGGAAGAATGGAAGAAAAGGTACAGGGAGGGAGTAAGAAGCCTAACCGGTAGGTACAAAAGAGATAGGAGGAGGTTAAGAATAGTATACGAAATAGAGAAGCCAAAGAACTTATGTCCAACCCATGGACATGAATAAAGGTGGGTGGTGGGCAATGCTGGTGGCGGGGGGTGGGGGGTGGAGTGGGGTGCAGGATGGGGAGGGGAATAAAAGGGAGGGAAAAGAAGGACAATTGTAATAGTGTAATCAATAAAATATAGTTAAAATAAATAAATAAAAATTTGTTTTAAAACAAACAAAAGTAGTAAACTATGATGTTCTCAAGGTGTTAAAAGTAAGCTGAACATAATTTTTATCAGCTCACATACTCCTTGGGATGTTGTTTCACTCAAGTTGAAGAGATGGGATAAGACAATCCGAGGAAAGGCAGATGCAGGGGGACATACATAATGCTCCATGAGCTCCTTGGAATTTCCTGCTTGAGTTCTTAACAGAAAAAAAAAAAAAAAAGGAATATCCAAAAAACCTCTCCTGGTTTGAATACAAGAATCTTAGACAACATTATGATAATGGTGTTAACAACCGACAAGTCTTAAGGAGTAAGAGCAAGAGAATGACTAATTAGTAAGTGGAGGATGTTTAAATGCTTTGCTTCCTGCTTTTAATTCATCTTTGAAGCAACAGGTAGTACAGGTTTAGGTTTCAGTTAATTACTAAATTATAAAAGGCTCATTATTTTATAATAATAAAAATGAGAACATATAATTCAGGCATTACATTCTTTTCATGATTACCTTTAGTAATAAACAAGGAAACATTTAAGTGGAAACATCCTAAAAATATAGTTATGCCAACACATTTTTGTTTACAGTAAAAACATCTATTTTTACTTGAATCTGTAAGTCCAAGTGTTTAGAAAAACTACCTAGAAAATCTGATACTTGACTCTAGCCTCTTTTCTCAGCTTTGAGGTACACTGGGTAGTATGAATATAAAACATCCTTTGGTAATAAATGGACTCCTCTTATTATTAGTATTAGTGGACTCAGCAGAGTCAAGGGAGATTTGGGTTATTAGTCAGGAATCCAATTTCCAATTGCCAGTTGTTCTATTATTCTAGTAACTTCTAAATATTGGTTTCAAAGTCTCCATTGCAATAGAAGTTACACCAGGTACAAATGCAGAAGGAACAGGATACTGCACTCATGAGATAAATGTGCCTTAATAATTTTTAGGGGGAAGGGCATGATGGAGAAAGAGATTAACATAGAGCAGAGCCAAGGTGTTCATTCATATAATTTATCCTTTGAAGCGATTCATTTTCCAATCTTCCTTTAAGTGTAAGAAGTGCTTAAGCAGTGGCTTAATTGCTATTTAAAAAGTTTATATAATAAATCATCTAGAATAGCATTGTCCAACAGAACTTTATGTGATGACAGAAATGTTCTATATTGGTATAGTCCAACACTCTAGCCATCAGCCACACATGGCCCTTTAGCCTTTGAAGTGGGGCCACTGCAACAGAGGAAATGAATTTTACCATTATAAAAACATAACTAATTTGAATGTAAACTTAAATAGCAACATATGGTTAGTGGCTATTATATTGGATAGAAATATCCAATATAGGCTTAGAAATTCTAGGGCAGTAAAATAAGCATAATTTTCCCCAATATGGATCTCATCCCCTGAAGAGGAAAACCTTTGCTCAAGCTCTGCCTTGTGAGTTTCCTTGACTCTGAATCCGTGCTGACAGCTTCCTTCTTTGTGGGGTTTTTTCTTTTTTTCTGAGGATGCAGCCTAGATGATTTCTATCTATGTGATAGAGCTTTTGTCCTTCCTTGATAACCAATGAGAAGACCCATTGCTGTGCTGTCATTTTCCATTTAAATGGAAATTGGACTATTCCCGAGTTCTTAAAGACATCTTAGGAAAAGAATTTTTAAGTTGGGAATCTGTCTTAACAATAGCAAAAACCCATGATAGCCTAATCACCGAAGAATCCGTTTCTTAAGAATGTCCTCCTGCGTAGATCAATAAACTCTTAAGATGTGTGGCAAAACTAAAAAGCTAAAGAATTTGACATGCCTGGGGTGAAGCTTTGAGGAATGCAAGGGTCTTTATAAACAGGTCATTTAGACAATGACAATGGAAATGCCTTCCACTCTCACTGGAGGCACATCTGAAAGTCCCAGAACCTGAGATTGAAGGGTCTGAATGACTACCTATTGAAACCACTCACTCTTAAACAGCAAGCAGGGAAATTTGAAGTGACTTTTCAAATAGAAGAATGTAAATAAGTCTCTCTATAACTAATGAGACAAAGTGTTGAGGCCTATTTGAAAAATTTAAAGCAATCAGAATAAACTATGCTTACCTATATTTTCTAAAGTAAATGGGAAAATATTACAAATGTTATATATTCAGAAGGAATCAACAGTACTTTAAAAAATGTAGTAGATTATGTAATGTTTCCTCATTTTCTTAAGGGAGAAAGACAAGATTTTTAAAAAGGAACAAACATTATTATAGGAATCAAACACATCTGACATTCCCT